GTGTGTGTTAGGGGTCGAGTCCATTAGTTAGCCCCCGAAGACTGCTCCAACCACTTTGCTTCCGCGAGTGGCTTCCCTATTTGAAAGTCCGGCTAGATTGTTCGACATACTTCAATTCTGAAAATTTTTTCTCCTAACATGTGAAAATTCCTCTATTTGAGTACGAAACATCATACAAAAAACTAAGTTTTCTGGTCTCACCCGATATTTGACGACCTCAATGATTGCCAATAGAAGCGAAGGGACGAGTCCCTGGAAGTAGTCTTGAAGAAGGAGACACGATCGCTGAGACAAGAGCTTTATTAGCCTGACGTTTCGGATTTCTGCTCGAACCATGTGCCACGCCCTCTGTTAGTAGATTCATCTAGTTTGAATGGATACTGGATGTTCAAGAACCATCTCATTATTTTGATAGATCATGCGGAGTCAGACCTTGGGCTGACCTCACTTTCGTCGTCTTCAGTGAAGTGGCGATGTCGACTTTAAACCAGAAGCACTGAAATTGCGAGACGGACGACGAAGGAAATGCCTAATTTTTTTAAACTGCCTTTACTGAATGGAGTGGAATATCCTCGCGATGCTGTTTAAATGAGCAGGGACTGCTGAATTTGAGTATGAAGACGTACGAGAACCAGGCAATTCTGACTAACGCCGCCTGAAGGAAGTCCTCGAAGTGACATTGAGGATTGTTTCCAGGCCGCGGTGCCCGGAAATCCCCGATTTCCGCTCTTCGTCGTGCTCAGTTCAGCAGGCACGACTGTAGAGAATGACAAACTGGACAGATTCTTTGCTCCTCGCTGTCATGACTGATTTGAGCGGTTCTTCGGTTTGTTGACCCGGCCAACAAGGGTTATGGTATGCAGCTCTCTAGTTAATTGTTGTGATGCATAGCTTACCGAACTGCATTGCTGACTTGGACCGCGCCACTTTACACGCGCGCCGTTTGTTTCTGAAAAAAACTGTGTCCGACGCAGTCCTTTTTCTGCCTTCAGCCGGTATCCTGTCTATACCTCAGAAGGAGTCGTACACAGGCTTCGCTTGTCTTGCCAACAGCTAGTTGGCTGTTGCCATTCACCCTATTTTAGACCCTACCTCTCCACTTGAACGTGTTAGGTTGCAGGCAGACTACTACGCACGTCTCTTCGATCTTTGAGATCGCCATACGCTAAGTAGCTGAAAACTGGCTGAATGAACAGTCGCAGACTGGCCAGCTACAGTGCAGATTTGGCATAGGTGCGCCCTGTAAGATGCTAAAAATCAAGCCCCTGTCATGACGTCCAAGTAGGCGGCTGGAGTCTTTATCGTTCAAACCTGCTGCATTCTAACGTGTATGATTTACAGGGTAACCCTTATAGGCTAATATCAAAAGGACATTAATGAGAATGTATATAGCCTAATAAAGTTGAGAAGTGGATCATTCAGAGTCATCGTCTAGTCACTCGAGCCTTACTTCCGTTCTCAGGTCCTTCCTTACAAATATGACCCAATCAAAAAAACACAAATATAGTTCAAGTCATGAACTGGCCAATCAACTCGGTCTTCGGCCATTTTGGGTAGATTGGTCAGACAACCTATTGTCCCCGGCTACGACTTTTCTACGTTAACAAATGAAAGTCATGAGATGCGTATTTGCCTAGCAGTTTGTGCGATTCAAGGCTTTGGTGCCAGTAAGGCATGTTGTATCATTGACCTCTGGCACGACACCAATTCACACAAACTGAGCTGCTTGACTTCAAGAACAAGCAAAGCTCGGCATCGAGTGATGGAGTTTGGGTGCAAATAGTCATCACCGATTCAACCGCGAGACCTTCGGACAGACCATATGAGCGGTAGGTCGATAGGGATAAGAGGCTGAGTTAGCAGCTAATTCGAATTCGGTTGTGATGTCTTCAACTATTTCTACATCCTCGGTAGGTACAGTAGATGACGGTATACATGGTCACTTGTATTCTGTTACGAAGTAACTGAGAGGAGAGCAGACATCTTGGCGATATTCGGGTCTGGTTCGTGCCTAGTCAGGTCCATTGTCGAATTTATGCCTGACCTCGTGATTTATGACGGTCTTCACCATAACTGCAATCTGCCGTGCCTAGAGAAGCTTTGAATGGGACTCGCCTCCCCCCCCCTCCTCCCAGGGTGCCGTAGACACGCACGCATGCACCGGCCAGTGGCAGTCATCCATTCACGAGCTAAGTCACCACCACCGGCGTATAAAACAAGGCTCACGATCTGTCTTCGTGAAAGAAATTGTAAAAAAATCAGTGCAACCTTGGACTAGCTTTACATCTCATGGCAGTCCGCCGTACACTGGCCCAAACCATACACTGCGAACTGGAATCTCGGAAGTAACCTGTCAATGCGAATTTTGCAGCGCGAGGAACTGGATCCGGCTTTTGACCACCCTCTCCTGGAATTTATGCATTAAGGCATGTAGCTAATCAATTTTATCACTGCCGTGGATTGTTTGCCACGCCGAACACTTGCTTGTTAAGGTTAATAAGATGTCCTGACAATGATGCCGATCGAACATACCTGGAGCTTAGCGTTGGATTGTGCCAAACTGCTTGATCAAGTTAAGAATTCGGGACTCTGCCATATTGCCCGACTGCGGTGCCTTTTCCTTTGTCTATGCCAATTACGCAGTCGACCCTATCTAAACTCCAGGTCTCGGCAGTCACACCCTCTGTGAATCCATTCAAAATGACTGACTCCCCTACCTGTACTCCGTCGGCCCGCGCCGCCCCAAAACCGCCGGAAGATGACACTGGATGGCCTGAAGGAACTTCGCACTCATCTCGACGTCCTTCCAGCCTTCTGACGCTGGCCATCATGCGTAACTACGTCTCGGGGAAGTCTTCCGAGAACCACCTCTACAACGGTCTAGGCGGACACGAGGCTGCTGCGCATTCTACCACCGTCTTCTCTCGACCACCTTCGTTGGCACAGCACTGTCAGCCCAGGGGGCGACCGGCAAAATCGATCAAACAGAAGACGTCTCGGACGTTCCAACACTCGGACTCGATGGCAGCCGCTAAGAATTTGCAGCTGGATGCGTTTTTCCGGAAGTAATGCATTTAACCCCACGGTCGTCACATTGTAAATTTCCAGGCTATGTTACTTTATTTTTGTACAGCATTACGTTTTGTATCTCTCGACTATCTTAAATTCCGCATTACAAAATTGCATTTAAAATGCGCTTCTTGAGGGCTCTTTACGCTTAGCTATAGGAGTGCTGGCTGCCGGAAGTTGCAGGCCGTTCCCAGACTGATTAGAAAGTATCAAGGCCCCGGGAAGGTGTGACCTTGCTCGTTGAGAAGGGCGCTGTATGCGGGACCATGTCCACAGCCTTGCACGTATACTGGGAAACCTCAATTGCTACTAAATAAGCTTGACTCATTAAGGTTTAAACGGGACCGAGGTGACGAACAAAGCGGACTTAAGCAGTCACTTTTGGTAGGTATCCGGTCGACGCATGTCATATCTGCATTCTCGACTACATGTAAACCCGTCAGCAGTTAAACTGACATGCACCAATTGTCTTTGACGGGTTTAACTCTGATGGCCGTGTCAGTATCCAAAACGTGTAAACTTTTCATAATCCCCACCTTTCGTGCGGTGTCCACAAATACTTTTTTCCGTTTGAAATACACCGATGCCAACGCAAAGCTGCTCGCGGCTGACAGGCTGGGCGCGGTGATAGGCGAGTACGGCGGCTGGACGGACAGTACTTGCAAATTGATCGGGATGTCGGCTTTCCTGTGTTCGATCCTCTATGCCAATGCCGAGGTTCACCGTTCTTTTGCGGAGCGTTCCATCCTAGCTTCAGTTGCAAGTCAACTACCTAATTCGATGGCCACGTGTAGGGCTGGGTTCCGAGTTCACATGCTGTCTGTGTGGTGAGAACGCTGAAGAGGGGCAACTGCTGGTTTCCCCAATCGCAAATCCGGTTAGACATGGCCTCAGAACAACTCATCCGTATTAACGCACCCCGCTCGACAGAATTAGCCAGCCGTGGACAGCAAAGTCTGCCTGCCTTGTGTCCTGGAACATTGGGTATCGCCTTCAGAGGGAAATGTGCTCGTGCGTGGCGCGAGACGTAGGTTTTTCCCTAAGGCGGGTTTCGACTCGACCCAGATTTCCTAAAGGCAGAAAGTTTTAGAGGCATCTTTCCACCTTTGGTAGAGAAGCATGCGCCGTCAAGAGGGACCCAATAGACTCCTGATCTCGAGTCTAGTGGCTAAACTGGTCTGGCAACAGCTAGAGTCGTCTTCAGCTGCTACAAACTACCTTGAATGGAACACACAGAAGAAACCTAATGCAATAGAACAAGGTACGAAGGTGGTACCCCTCCCTCTGCCAAACATCTCGAATATCTAGCTTACAATGAGGGCAAAAACAGCTCACGTCCCCTCACGCCCTCGTCATACGAAAATCACGCGACGAATTCGCAGTAATAATGAACACTGCAGTATTCGACGTGGCAGAGATACCAGCCAACCATGGCTACTGCCCGGCGGCGCATCAGGGGGGCCGGTTTGCGGCTCCGGCCGCCTGCACTTTCTCCTACCTCCAGTCCTCTTGACTATGTCTGGACACCGGGCCCAGGTGGGAGGGAGGAGAGAGTGCGGTAGATGCTGCACAAGTCTACACTCGCTACAAACTAATTCCGGTGCAAGTCACTGTGCCTGCTCTCACCTGGCTGTAGAGCACACAGTGGACATTTTCGGCAACGACGGTCGAGCTGTCTTCAAAATTCAAATTCGCACTAAAGTGCACTGAAAAGCGATCGAGACAGAGCTCTACAAAAATAGTAAAACAGCATCGTGGGCAAAAGAAGTATAATTAAGAAAATGAGATCGACAAGATGAGCAAATAAGTCTGTGCATGACAAGAGCTACATGGCTGCATCAGCTGTGACCTAGCGGACTTAACCGTAGGTTTGCTTGCGGACAAAAATGCACAAATGATCAGCACGACAAAGTGCAGTCATCTACACAAGATCACAGTTCTTCAGCGTGGTCGATGAAGAGGGGCTGTTCGGGTCTGCAGTCTCCGCGGGTCAAACGAAAGTCGGCCAACCGGGATATGCCGTAGTAGTGGACGAGGGCTGCAGCCACCACCAACACATGGAATATCTGGTGGCTTTGAAACTGAAAAAAAAATATTTTGAGAAATTACGCATGCTAGCAGATAACAGGGAAAAGTGAGCTCAAGCTGTATGGCTTGCCTTTGAAGACAAAAATGGCAAGACTCCGTGACGAGACAAACATGAGCATTAAATCGACCGAAACAGGACTAATAAAGACACTGAAATGTTTGGATGGCAACAGATTGAGCCTAATTAGAGGTAAGGGAAAGCATAAATCCGTTAAATGGCCGACAAACCTAGTATCACAGGGGAGTCCCCGCCTATAGACTTGAGATTAACTTTAAAACAAGCTGACAAACCGGAGAGACAACTGACAGACCAAAGTCACCTTTGTCTACAACTACCAGGCAGAAGGATCAGTGTTCGAACTTGCTTCTCTTCGTAGGAAAGGGCGGAACTCACCTTATCTTTGATGCCTGCAGTGAGCAGGCGAATGTGCCCAGTGTACACTGTAAACCTTAGTATACAATAAACAAAAAACTCCAGGTCGTTTAAATGGTTTGGACATAAACACGCCTGTCCGAGAAGTCAGCGGTTGGCACCTCGTTCAGTTCTGAAATGCGGAATTAAAATAGGAACGCGGGTCACGAGACCACCATTTTCGCGTTCAGCTATTGTGACGGCCGACCACAAGCGTATACCAGGCTTTTCTACACAAGGGACGTCTGCCGGTCTTAGAGTACACCCATTACCGATATCAGCAATCGGATGGATTAGCAGGGAATATAAATAATCAACAGTTGAATCATTTGAATTCTGCTAGCGCGTGCACGTAGCCAGTCAGTTTTACAAGCACTCCACTTCTCCGCCTCGAGGGTAAGGATAGACTGCTCTTTCAGATTTCTTCAATGTGCATCTACGCTTCCGCTTTCTCCTGTGTGGAAGGCTATACTGGCCGAATGATAATGCGCCAGTCCAGGCGGATGTGGGAGCACCAACCTGCCTGGCTAAATCAAGCACAATTGTGACTCACTTGGTTGGCAGCGGCTACCGGGATGTACGGGCGCAGAGGCACCCGTGCATGGATGGTCGGTCGCACCACAGATGGTGACTGTTCATCACGGCTCTTAACTGGTATCTGTAGCTGCCCGAAGCTCGACTCTGACCAGCGATCATGCCCCGTTAAACGCCTCGACCGGCGGGCTACACCACATGAGGGGATCCGGAACTGCCCCCTACAACCAGCAAATATGCTCTCATCTCCATCTCCCCAACCCTCCATACCTTCCCTCCTCGTCTCTTACACTTCAAAAAGTCTAACGAAGAGGGCAACAGGCAACCGTAGAACGACTGACATGTGACTGCCTCATAACCCTACTCCTGACTCTTCAGAGAGCCAAATTCGCCACCATCGCCAGTGTCTAGCCCTGCACCCCCTAATGACCAATTTTGATGTGATAAAGAACAATCTCAAAAGACAATTTGGCGAGCATACGTAAGCTTCCGATAAATTCTCATTAGGCCTATACATTTATATTGATATCGAAATGATCAAAAGGAAAATGCGGGCAAGCAGAAGTTATTCTGCAGCTGGGGTTTGGAGGGAGGGTCTGGGTAGGTGAGGTGAAAAACAAAATTACCGTCATTGTCAGGGGGGAGAAAAGGATGATGGGCACTGGGACGGGTAATTATACGCAGATGGCTGGCATGATGGCTTTGGCCCATGGCAACTGTGGGGTCTGCATGAAGTTCTTTTGTGCGCACAGAACTGGTTTGTATAGCCTGATTACAGCCGCCTCTGTTGTTGCCAACAGACGCTGTGCAAGTGATTTTGGATAGCTTGACGAGACCTTGTAAATCACTCGGAATGCCTGTCCGGCATCTACACAGTGATCTGTGTCTACCATGTAAGCGAGGATGGAGCTGTTGACGTTCTTTATTTGGCCCTTCCTAACCATACTGGAAGGTGTTCTCCTATTCCCTTGGACGAACGCCGGCTCGTGCGACCAATATATTCTGCCAAACAAGAGCAGGTGAAGGAGTAAATACACATCGAAGTGGTACCATCTGGCAAGTTGTCCTTGCCCTCCCCGTGTAGGATGGGGCTAGCGGAGAAGAGTACACGGGCGTCAGCTGCTGGAAATGTGCGTGACACAGCTTGAGTTAAGCGCCTTCTTAGAAGTTCACTTGGCGCGTCCACTTGCAACGGGATCCTGATGAAAAGCTTCTTTTCTGCCGTCAGCATCGGGGGCTTTGGTGGTCTTTCGGTCATGTACTTGGCAATGAGTCAATCGGGGTATCCGTTCTGGCGAAGGAGATTTTCGACGATCTTAAGTTCTTCCCCAATGCTATCAGCCGAGCAGATCCTCCTTACTCTTTGTGTCAAACAACGGACTAAATTGCGCTTCATGTTAGACGGTACGAAACTCGCAAAACTGGAGTATTGCCCCGACCACGTCTTCTTACGATAGACGATATGTCGAATACTACCGTCAGGCCTTCTACTTAAAAGTACATCCAGAAAGGGGAACGATTCGGATTGCTCTTCTTCCAGTGTAAATTTGATTGATAGGTGCGCCTGACTGATATCATCCAGTAGAACTGAAACGTCGTTTTGTTCAGGTGCAATCGCGAATATATCATCCACGTAGCGTCCATAGTATCTCAGACCATTTATCTGGCGACTAAGCTCGAAAGCTTCTAGCTTGCCCATGAATACGTTCGCCGAAAGAGGACGAAGGGACGAGCCCATAGCTGCTCCATCTATTTGTCTTTACAGACTGTTGTCAAATAGGAACTGTACGTTTAGGGTACATCTCAGTAGCAATTCCTTGGGTACATCCTCCGGCATTCCTATATCCTGATGATTGGGAGCAATGAATTCACAGAGGTAGTTGACGGCTTCTGTGAACAGTACGTTCGTAAAAAGAGACGAGACGTCTAGTGAAAACATAATCATTCCTTTTAGGTTGAGATCTTTAACGCCGTTCACAAATTCAAAAGTATACCGACAGCTATGTGGGGCCAGCTGGTACTGTATGGGCTTAAGTTTCTCCGCTAGTCATTTTGCTATCGCGTGGTACGGCGAATTTCTCATGTCTAGGATTGGTCGAACCGGTGTGCCATCTTTGTGGATCTTTGGCAAGCCATATAACCGAGGTATATGCGTGCCAACAGGTCGGAGACGCTCTAGGTCGTGTTCGCTTATGACACCATTCGCTTGAAGTCTTTTCAAGCAGTCAGACAGCTGTGCTTCAACCTCATCTGTCCGATCCTTATCCATTTCCGCCTTGCGGAACTTATCCTGGTGCGACAGGACTGACTGTATTTTTGTAATGTAGTCGACCCTGTCCATCAAAACAACACCAGTTCCCTTATCCGGTCTCGTTATTAGAATATCCTTGTTCTGTCGGAATTGCTTTAATTTGTTAATTTGCGACTTCGTCAGTAAGCCTCGACATTTCTGGCTACTGTTCAGGTACGGATAAGAGCAGGGGACTAACGTGGATTTAAGGCGTTGCACGCTCTCTGCCGAAACCGGCTAGAGGTCATGTGTTTGATTTATGAGTTTCTCCAACTGTGTCTCTAGTTCCAGCTGGTTGGGTTTCTGGTGAGGACAGCAGAACTTAGGGTTAATACTGTCAGACCAGAAAAAGTTCCGCAAGGCGGAAAAGGATACGGATCGGACAGATGAGGTTGAAGCACAGCTGTCTGACTGCTTGAAAAGACTTCAAGCGAATGGTCTCATAAGCGAACACGATCTAGAGCGTCCCCGACCCGTTGGCACGCATATACTTTGGTTATATGGCTTGCCAAAGATCCACAAAGATGGTACACCTGTTCGTCCACTCCCAGACATGAGAAATTTGCCGTGCCATGCGAGTGCAAACACTGAAAGTGATGGAGGGGACGATTGAGGAGACTTCTGTAGCGGCGTCAGGAAGACAAAAATTACGGTGGTTCTTAAAGTAATGTCGGTTGTCTTGAAAGATGGTATAACGATGGCCTTGACCTAGAGGATTTGACGTGCATGCAATCTATTTAACTAGAGAAGCGGCCGGTGAGTCGTGCTTGCAGAAGCACAATCGAAATCCAAAACTCGGCTTGGTTAAACCTACATACTGTGGCTTCTGTGGTAGAGTGCGAGACCGTCTGCGCCCTTAGCTATGGCTGCTCGTTATCCGTGAAAATCGGCCACCTGAACATTTTGGAACTACAAGAAGGAAGCGACGTGGACGCGTATCAATCACCTACATAAAGCCAAGGGACTTTAAAGTATATATGCGAGAAGCTATAAGGGCTGAGAAAACGGAAAGCACCAGCATGCGAGGATTAGATCAATCAGTTGTGAAAATTCAGCGGCGGGAAGAGGCAACTTACCCACAGATCAAAACAGCCAGGTACGAGACGTTCAGGAATGCGAAAAGCATAGAGAAGGGCACCGCCAATGTAGAGGACAGCCATCAGAATTAGCCAGCCCAGGGATGCGTCATTCACAGCTGACTCCCAACCCGCAACTATGGTATAGTGCATGGCCGGAATGACACCGGACAGACCCAAACCTATGAATACGCCGGCTCGCAGACCTCTGAAGCGCGGAGTGGCAAATTTGTCGATCATGGACACGAGGATGGCAGCCATGCCCAGAACACATATGAGCGCCGTGTAAAAGATCATCTGCCACTTGCCGCAGTAGAATGTGTAGTACAAGAAGGGAATAAAAGATCCAATAGTCAGAATCGCGATTCCTGCGTAGTCGAGTCTATAAAAACCAAGGCAGCTATTCTAAGATGGGAGCGAAATATTCAGGATGGAGAGAACACCTTACAAGTTTGGAAACTTCTGTTGGGAGCTCCTTTAAGAGATAAACCTTCTTGGGTAGTCTCAATTGACAGAAATAACAAATGTGCAATGAATACCAGCTAACACCATGCCCTACGAATGCAAGCAGTCTCGCGTAACAAATAGATGCGATTTAAAGGATATTAAGACAGTTATTAAAAAGCCGTCTACAATCGAGCCAACACAATCGGCGTTAAAAAGGTTTGTGCATGGGAGAGTCCACAATTGTTCTTCGCTTTTCGGCAACAGCAGAAACCCTACGTGATGGAACGAAAAAATTCCTATAAAAAAACTGCCGATGCGATATTAATACTGCATGATCGTGACTACAAATCCGTCAAAGTTACTTCACCTAGTTTCTAAGGCGCACTATCAGGGGGTGCCTGCAGATATTCTAGTGAAGCATGAAACGGCAGTTGGAATGAGTAATTCAGTCAGGGTATAAAATTGTAAGACGCATTTTCTCTAACACAATAAGTTGGGAGTGTCCGGGTTTTCATATAGTTTAGAACCACCACAGATTGTCGCTTGGGCAAACTAGTTGAGAACTAAATTATGAGGTAAAGACTAAAATGTTCTATGAAAGTGTTGGCAGGTTAAATCGAATTTCTACTTTAGGCTCGAAAGACTACTTTTAATGAGGAAAATGACCCAAAAATTGCCCATAAGAACTAGGGGAAGGCAGAACAAAAGTTCAAAAGTGAGCGTACTTGTTTGCGAACCGAGCAACTTTGACTGAATGACAGCACAGTGTGTGAAAAAGACAGGAGAAGCCAAGGCAGACTACAGCACCGGTGAAAAAGGCGCCAATGACTAGCTTGTCCTGCCACTGGATACTGTGAGGAGCCTCGATCATGAAGTATGTAAATATGGCGGCAAAAAGGACGCAGCCTAGAAGAAGGATTAGTAAAATTACCAATCAGACGCACCCAACAAATGGGTCCAGATATTTCCGGTCTCTGTGTGGATTCTAAAAACAGATTTGAAACAGCCCCAGTAGGAATTAAGGGCTGGACGATGACCGCGGATAAGAAAGTCGTTGTCTTTTAACCAAGCTGGAAGTTGTGCGAACTGCACAACTTGCCATCCACGGAGCCAGATGTGACGAGCGAACTCCTCTGCACTATGGGCCATAGACAGGGCGAACTGAAGAGGAGAACGCCAAACTTCATAATATGATAACGAACAAAGGCAACAACAGCAGTACATCACATCTTCTTCGTCGTTACGGACGATGGCCGCTGTGTACCCCACTGCAAGGCGGGTGCAGAGGGCGGTGAATTGTGCTGAGTTAGTTTATAGTGAGAATGGACTTGCACTGCGTGTACCGCACTATCTCCTGCCTCACTCACCCGGGCTTAGTGTCAAAACGGAGTCAAGAAGACCGAGAGTGGGGTCGGGCGCAAATAGCTGGTATGGCGTAAACCTGTGTCTTGGTGTGCCACTATGTATGGCATTTCTCACGGGTACGTAAACAGTTGCAAAGCAGTTTCACAGTCCATTTCAATACTGTCTCGCACAGTTTATCTTAGATCTAAACGCAGCGGCCACTCTACAAATATTTCGGGAAATAATTGAACAATTACAGGACCGCTGCGTACTATATAAGGATGAATAGGACAAGTACAAATAAAAAAGGTCCTAATAACCTCTAAAAGAGTAGGACAGGCTTTCGCGTCAACGCAATTTCAGTAAAAGCGGGCAGATGCGCATAGCGAAAAATCTATTCTTTCCTTCCAGGAGGTAACTTAAAAGATGACGTCGGTCTTTATCTCTGAGATAAAGTAGAGACGACTTTTAAAGCATAAGCACTGCGAGAGGACGATTCTCACATGATCAATACCTCACTTATTGCAGGCTTGCGTAGTAGTCCGTTTATCAGCTCTAGGTCCGCATACGAATACGGCCCGGGCATTAAGATGTAGAAAACACTTCCCCGGACAAACTAACTTGGTCAAGGCTCTTCAGATATGCTACATCAAGGCAGTTACAACAGTCATAACAAAATGTCTGGTATGGAAATCGGGCAAATAACCAAAACAGCAAAGTGCTCGCAGGAATTTTGAACGTTTTGAGGCTGAACGACCCCCACCGCCACCGGATATAAATCGGCAATGTGCAGAAAAGAAACTTTTTAGTGGTGAGGAAACGACATGTTGATTGCTGTGTCTGCTCTTTATATAACATTTTTTTCACTCGGCGACAGTCCTTCGCATGCTTGGCCTTTTCGCAATGTCCGCTACGCTGAAATCTCTGTCCTTCACGCAGAGATATCTGAAATTATTGGATTGCAATCAAGACTGCGGAAACTAAACAATTAAGTAAGAATCTTGAAAAATGCAGAGAAAACGAAGTGAGTATGCAAGCTTTTACGGGAACTTATGTTTATGTTCCGATATCGTTATTAATGTGGAAGTATTTCGATGCTTCTCGTCTTACGTAATTAATACCCTCAGTGAATTTTTCATTATAATTTTTTCCAGTTACATCGGGTGATGCAGAAGTGGTAGATTATCGAATGTGCGGAATATGTCGTAGTTTTTGGCTCGTTCTACGACTTCTGCAAAATAAAGTATTTTCCACATCTCATGGCATGTACCGCGTCCTGTTTCAGATCTGAAACAGGACGCAGGAATCGTCTGCTTCTTTAATACTCGTCGACGAGTATTAAACAAGCTGACGATTCCAATAACCGATAAGCTCAAGTTAAGTATGCCTAGGTGCTAAGGGCTAAACTCAGCTGAGCCAATACGCAAAAGAGGGAGAATTCTCCTGGCTGCCTAAGAACGTTTGGTTAATCTATCTGCGGACGAACGTGTTCGAAAAAGTATGGGGACGCAGCCATGATGTCGAATACCAGACATTGCGTCGGTATTGTAAAATCAAACCATGACCCTAAAATGAGTGAACTCCTGCCTCGTTGGCTTTCACGGAGACAGGTATTATAATAACTGTTTTTTCTTATAGGAATAAGCCCTTGCCGTGACAAGAAAAGACCAATAACCAACCTGTGTGAAGTCGCCGTTAAAAAGAGAGTTTGTGCATCCATATTTTGCCTCCTGTCCGGTAACATGCCCATTGGCATCTTTCAGAATTGCATCAACATTAGCATCAGCCTGAGCATCCTCATCCCCCATGTCCGGAAAACCTTCGACTAAGCCGCTGAATACTCACCATTTAATTGGTGTAACAAAACAAGATTCGGGTCGTCAAAAATACCGTTGATTTCTATGATCATAAAAGAGGCTTGTAAAAAGATATTACACGCAAATAAACTTCCCTTACCCTAAAGAGCACTACTAATTGTCTGTCGGCAGGTAATCAATATAAAGCGGTTACCTGCTGTTGCTGACAGACTTCGCCTCAAATATTCATATATAAAAACTTCGGTCAGTTCCTGTAGACATAAAATTTGCTGATCTACTGCGAGTTTGCAGTTCTTTTCTGAGGAAATGAAGAAGCAACGGCTGGTGGAACGCCTGCACGTCTGAGGGTGTTGGGAGTGCCTACACTCCCAAAAACAAGAGCAAACCAATCAATGGCGATCACGTGCGTTTGCTCTCTCTGTACCGCGCTGTCATCTCAATCAGGCGCTTTCCCATTGGCTACTCCCCTCTTCCCGAAGGTCATTGGACCGAGTGCCGGCGAACTACGCTAGCGTGTGATAAATATGCGTCACCCTTAGCTAGACGTGACTTGCTAATACGTGTTTGCTAATACACGTTCCGTGGCCAGCCGTGTGTTCTTTGTCTGCTGCCTTGATATTGGGGACCAGGGTCGAGTGCGTATACGCTCCACGGGAATTCAAATGCCAGGCGGGTCATAACAGAGGGCTTCCCGACTCCTCAATAAATTCCAACGATATAAACTTTTCTTAGCATGTGCTCCACAATTCTGCCTAAAGGAAGCCCAAATTCAAGCATAGACATCCTATGAATTGAAGCCCACCAATCGCCAGTCAAGCAACTATTTCATCTACTGGGCAACGTACAAAGGGACTACGCAAACGACCACCCACGATCTCCTGGTTTGAATGTCTTATCGCACATGCGGCCTCACGAAGGTTCCGAAGATTTTGCAGTAGTCGTAAACGAAATCCACAAAAGTCCTCAGAATGCAGGCAAAAGGACAGTGAACAGTCGCCACACTGGATCCAACTGCTGTGACTCTCGGTTGCCCTCACAAACTTTCTGACGAAGGTCAACGCGCGCAGCACGATTTTGAAAAGATAAGTGAAAGTTATATTTTTGGATTCAATTTCTTAATCCCTTGCACAGTTTTCCAGTGTAGACCTGACGAAATTTTCTATTTTTTGTCATAAGTCTTCTTCGCTTCCTGTCGTGTTTCTGCGATTTGTCATAAAGCAGAAATCTATTGTCGCAGTTTTTCACCCAACATAGCCTCAATCCTATCAAGTCTTACCTGCATAAACAAAAGGTTTTCCTCGTAAAAATATAGATTAACATTATATTTTAAACGATAAACCGTCTCCACTGACGGCTTTCATCGTCAGTTTATTGAGAATTATACTGTTATCTATTTTATCCTTCATAGCCTCATTATCCAATTCAGATTTATTCATAGTTCTGTTTTACCACCTACGAAATTGTCATTTGCCCGTTTTTTTCTAGTTTGCATTCTGGTATTGAGTAAAACTTGCTTAGTATAAATTGTGCTGTCTGGTCCACCAATATTTGCAGCTTTCATAAATCGTTTCATCTTACATAGCCTCATCCATATATCCTCGAAGTTTCGGCAGTTATCATCCATATAAATATTTGGACTTAAGTCTTGTATTGCGTTTTCGGCATGAAACCTCAAGCAACCCTTCGTCGAAATCTGAAGGAAACTAAACTTCATCTGAAACCCAGTGTTCATATGAAAAAAATTGATCTAGGGGCGCTTGATGATTTTAACAACTTTATGTCTCGTTGCGAATCAATTTTTTCTGTCCTTGGTGCCCTTCTTGACGGAAATTTGCCAACGCTTACGTCTCAGCAGTGTGAGAAGCTCATGCCTCTCATTAACCTGGTTGCGACTGAGACTGAAGACAGGCACAAACGAAGTTTCAACTTTATATTAAAAAACGTTCCCAGGAGTAGACAGCCAATTGATGTCGCCTTTCAATTCCTTTTTTCATGCGGCTTCAACTTTAGGGTCGCGGAAGCCAAAAGGCTTTCATCTAGGAGCAAGAATCCACCCATTCTTGTCAAACTCTTTTCGTAGAAAGAAGTGGATTTTATTTTCTCCCATTTGGAGCGATCGACTCAATATCTCAGGGCAAATAAATTTTTTATTAGTCGAGACCAGACTCCACTGCAACGAAAAATTTCTCCCACATTACCAAACGTAAAGCCTAGCCCGAATTCTACCCAAATGTCTTTTTCCTCTAAAGCAGTTTCTCCATCTGGTGTCGACCAAATCCCGCCACTATCTACAGCGGCCCCAGTTCCATCTAGCTCTTCGACTGATCACATTATCACAGAGACGGTTAAAACTA